AGATTTTAAATTAGAATTTAAAAAAATTTAAGTTAGTAGGTAGNTATAAATAATTTTTTATTTTTGGTAATTGGTATTATCTTTATTCCCATTTGGTAGAAACTTTATTTAAAGGTTTATAATTAATAACTAGTCTAGGAACTCCTCTTTCTTTTTCAGCATTTTTATTTACATAGAATGCAGCACAACTCCAAGGAGATGTACTTGGTCTAATTAAGTTTTTAGCTAATAATTCTTTTATTTCTTTTTGGCATGTTTCTAATAAGGTAGAGTTCATTTGAACCGGTCTTGCTTTAGTAGGTATTTTTGTTTCCTCAAATCCTGGTTTAATCCGACTACATGTTTTTTCCTATCCCAAAAAGCATTGGGTATCTCACTACATATTTCTTGTTCTATTTGCGTTTCAATAGTTTGTATTTGTTTTATTGTTCAAAGCAGAGTTTGAGGAGGAAAAGGAGAATTGTTTAAAAGCTCAGGCTGAAATATTGATATTGAAGGATTCTGTATCTGATAAAGACACCGAGCTGGAAGGATTAAGAAGCAAATTGGAGAGTCTGGAAAAGGAAAAGAAAGCAGCCCTTAATCTGGTTGAGCAACTTGAGAACTCAGTGAAGCTGGAAAAAGAAGAACATTTAGTGAGTAAGGAATCAGGCCAGACCCAACTGGCTAATTTGGAAAACCAGATGCTTCTTTTGCAAGAAGAAGTGAACAAGAAAAAAGCAGAGTTTGAGGAGGAAAAGGAGAATTGTCTAAAAGCTCGGGCCGAAATATTGATATTGAAGAATTCTGTATCTGACCAAGACGCTGAGCTGGAAGGATTAAGAAGCAAATTGGAGAGTTTGGAAAAGGAAAAGCAAGCAGCCCTTAATCTGGTCGAGCAACGTGAGAACTCATTGAAGCTGGAAAAACAAGAACATTTAGTGAGTAAGGCATCAGGGCAGACCCAACTGGGTAATTTGGAAAACCAGATGCTTCTTTTGCAAGATGAAGTGCACAAGAAAAAAGTGGAGTTTGAGGAGGAAAAGGAGAATTGTCTAAAAGCTCAGGCTGAAATTCTGATATTGCAGAATTCTGTATCTGATAAAGACACTGAGCTGGAAGGATTAAGAAGCAAATTGGAGAGTGAGGAACACAAAAAGGAAGAAGCCCTTTATCTTGTTGGGCAACTCGAGGATTCATTGAATTTGGCGAGAGAAGAACACGAGACTAGTAATCAATTGAACCAAATCCAATTGGTTAATTTGGAAAATCAGTTACTTCACTTGCAAGAAGAAGTGAAAAATAGAAAATCAGAATTAGAACAAGAAGAGGAGATTTCTGTCAAAGCACAGATTGAAATCGATGTTTTGCATGGCTGCCTTTCTGATTTAGATGGAAGGTACCGATTACTATCTCTTGAATGCCATAAATATATGGAGGAATCCAAATCAACGGGAGAAATGGTTTCTGAATTAAGGAAGGAAAGTCTGAGAAAGCAAATGGAATTGAATTCGTTGCTTGTTGAGCATTCTTCAGCTCTGGATTCGAACACAAAGATGTTATCAGGGATTCAAGCATTGCGAGGAGCTCTTGATTTACCTAATAATGAGATATTTCCAAATAAATTAGACATAACATTCCAAAATATGCTTGAGAAAATAAAAGATTTGCAGAGTTCTCTTCTCGTAGCCCAAGATGAGAATGAAAAGATTTGTCTGGAGAGCTCAGTTACCTTTGCTTTTCTGGAGCAATTACGAATGAAGATTTTGAAACTTTTAATTGAAAAGAAAACCATAGAGAGAGAATCGGAAACCAGGTTTGAGGAACTGGGGAAGCTAAAGAATGAGAAATGTGAGCTCCTGGATGTGGTGGAAGGGTTGAGGCATCAATTGCAAGCTGGAGAAAATCGAGAAAGAGCATTAGGTCTGGAATTGGAGAATCTAAGTAAAGAGTTATGGTACTCCAAAGAGTATAATCTGGTACTAGAGAAACAGAACCAGAGCTTAGTCGAAGAAAACCAGTCTCTCAAGGCAGATCTCTGTGACTCCAATGTGAAGAATCACATGTTGGAAGAGGAAAATGATGCTTCATTCTTTGAAATTCTCAGATTGGGTAGCCTTGCTATGATTTTTGAATGCTTCAATGCGGATAAATCCATGGAGGCTTGGAAGCTCAATGAGAATCTGGATTTCTGCCATGGAATTGAGAAGAAACTTGAAGAAGACCTGGGAGCAACTGTTAGGAAGATGGAATCACTTGAAATATATTATTCGAATCAGGTCAAGATATTGCAGGATGAGGCAAACACTGTCAAAGAAACATGTGATAAGTTGAATCATGATATTGAAATTGGCAAAATCCAATTAACAGAGAGGGACATGCAGCTTGCAGAAGTGGATCAGAAGCTGAATGATTTGCAGGGTGCGAATAACAGAGTGATAATGGAGTTAGAGAACATCAAACATGAATTTGATGAAGGCAAATCAATCAGGAATGCATTTGAGAAGGAGGTTTGCATGCTATCAAACGAGAAAATGCTTTCTGATAAGGAGTTGTTGAGTGTTCGTGAAGAAAAGGATATGTTGGAGGTGGAACTGAATAAATTGCAGAAACGTATTCAGGAGTTGGAGCTCCAAGAGAAGGATTGGAGGACTGAATTGAAGAACAGTGAAGAAGAGATTGAAATGTGGGAGTTTGAGACTGCAAATTTGTACAAGGACCTTTATGAATCTGTCATTTATGCTGGGCTACTCAAAGGAAAAGTAGAGGCTTTGGTGGGAGCATGTCAGAACCTTGAAGAATGTGCTTGGAGCCAGAAAACCAAGTTTGAAGAAGAGAATGCTCTGGCAAATTTGCAGGTTGTTGAATTGAATAGAAGAATCTGTGTGCTAGACGGGGAGGCCAGTTCTTGTTTGAACTTAATATTGTCACTAAAGGAGGGTGTGTCCTCTCTAGAAGATCAAGCTCTTTCTCTCGTGAAGAATCGCAATGCCAGCTTTGAGGTACCTCAGGTATGCTTCTATCCCCATCTGCTCCTCTCTCTTGTTTTTTGGTTCCCACTGGTTTCTGGCATAGTGAGGAATCTTGTCTTGGCAAGATAGTATCTCAAATTCTTAGAAGTTTTGATATGTTTGGGAAAAGCTGAGGGAAAATAAAACCGAGGGTATTCATGCTAGATATCTACAAAACTGGAAAATATTTGTACATATGTTGGCCCCAAGTAATTCTGTCCAAATAATTTCTTCCATGCTGGAGATTTACAAAAAAAAAGGGCGCATATAGCATACACTTGTGGGAGCGCACTGTACACTTACTCCCTCTACCAAAATACCTACGAGGATTTTTTTAGACCTAAAACTTGAGATCCACTTTAGAATCACTGAATTAATATTTTAAAAAATGAATTTTGAGCTCCTAAACATTCAGATCTTGCTATTCCAATATGCATGGGTCTTTATTCAATCTTAAAATTTTTGTTTTTTTTCCTAGGCACATGTAGAATGCTTACATCTTTTTTCTTTTTTTTTCTTTTTTCTTGAGGTTTGTTGCTCGATAGGGGAGGTTATGTCCCCAAAATTTTGGGTCCTAGATGTGCTCCCACAATATCATATAATCTCTTGGCTTACAAGTTATGGTAGATATCTGTACTATTCAGTACTTACAACTTAATATTGTGACTTTTTTTTTGAATATTTGCCTCTTTGGTCATAATCAACAGTGACTGACCGTGTTTTTGAGAATTGTCTGGCAGGGTAACTTTGGAGGTTTACAGAATTTTTGGTTTTTCATGGTACATTCTTGTAAATATCTTGACAAATTTTCAAGAAAAAATGGAAAGATTGGGGGTCAAACCACCTCCAAAAATCAATTAGGTGGCTAAATCAACAATTTTACCAGCAAAACAGTTCTTTTTTAAAAAAATCATTTCAATGCCTCATAAGTTGCCTTGTTCTAACAAATCCTGGATAAGCAAGGGCATTTTGGTAATTTGACCTACTAAATCACTTGAGCCATGCTTGTCTTGGGTTCCAAACCTGAAACATTTTTTAATGTAAAATCTAGTTTTGGGTTAGAAAACCAAAAAGAATTTTTGTAAGTTGGCCAACTTAGTCAACCCGATCCAAAGACACAAATACCCTGTTTGTTGTGGGTTTCAAACCCACGACAATATTTCTAATAGAAGAAACATGTCCAGTTTTGGAACCCAAAGTAACTTAAGTAGTAAAATTAAGTAACTTAAAGTAGTCAGTCAGTCATTTGGCTGAAGTACCTTATATAGTCAAATTACTAAAATGCCCTCAGTTATTTAGGGTTTCAAACCCAAAATATGGGTAATTTGGGCATTTTCTTACCAAATAGTTGATGAGGAACCGAGTGAGATGATTTTTAAAAAGTGACTACATCATTGGTAAATTAGTTGATTTAACCACCTCATTGATTTTCGAAGGTGGTTTGACCAGTTTACTGAAATTTCCCAAAATATTTATTAAAAAAAGGATAAATCTGAATAAACAAGAAAGATTAAATATAATAGAAAGCTTAGCTCCTCTTAAGTGTCATATATCTACGCTTCTACAAACTCATAATTTTTCATCTACGTCAAGAAGATTTCAGAGCAAGTCCCACATCATTGGTAAATTAGTTGATTTAACCACCTCATTGATTTTCGAAGGTGGTTTGACCAGTTTACTGAAATTTTCCAAAATATTTATTAAAAAAAAGGATAAATCTGAATAAACAAGAAACATTAAATATAATAGAAAGCTTAGCTCCTCTAAGTGTCATATATCTACGCTTCTACAAACTCATAATTTTTCATCTACGTCAAGAAGATTTTAGAGCAAGTCCCACAAAGAGCAGACATCCTGTAATCCCTAAACCCTAACTAATGGCATGAGAGCTCACAACATTTAATATGTTTCCAGGATGCTTCTTCCACTGAATATGAGTCAGCAGAAGAACACGATGAGCATATACAAGGCCAAATTATGGAGTTGCAGATGCTACTGAGTAAGATTCATGGCGTCGATAAAGCTCTCATGGAACTCAGTAGGCTGAACCAGGCATCGAAAGATGTGCACCAGACCAGGTCAATAGAAAGCTCGGATACCACTGCCAAGTTAGTTACAGAGATTAATGAGACAATAAGGTCAAGATTGAAAAGCATCTCCGGTCGAGAAAAGACTGAGATGGCAGTCAAGACCAAAGACATTCCACTTGACTGTGTTTCAAATACGTCATCTCATGAGAACAATTTCACTGATTTTAGAGTTGAGAAGAGAGAGAATAAAGAGCGGGTTGAGAAGACCAAGAACAATGAGGTGGATGATCAGATGTTAGAATTGTGGGAAGCAGCTGAAAGGGACAGTACCCACTCAGAAGCAAGGAGGAAGGAATCAAATAGCCATGAAGCAATAGAGATAGAAAGAGAAAATGTGCTTCATCAGGCAGATGATTTGGAGGAAGTTAAGAGTGAGTATGTATCATCAGAATTGCACACAGAGAAAGATGTAACCATTGACAAAATGGAGATATCCACCAAAGTGAGTGCTTATACCATTCATGAAAATAGAGAGAGTGTGAGGGACTTGCTCTGTTCTGATGCAAGTAGGCTCACTAACCTCCGGAATGGTGTGCAAGAACTGAAATTTAAGCTTGAGAATGCAAAGAGAAGTGACAAAGTTTTGGGATTAGAATATGAGAATATGAGAGATCAGTTGAGGGACTTGGAATTGGCAATCTCAAGATCGGTTGAAGGGAACAGTAAGTTGATGAAGACTATGGAAGAGAGATGTGGGTTCGAGAGTAAAAACCATGATGGAAGAAGCAAAAACCAAGAGGGAGAAGCTGGGGATGAGGAATTGATGAGAGAGGTAGCGCAGGTTCTGCAAAAAATATCAGGGAGATTGAGAAGGGGGTCAGAGAAGATTGCTAGGATGGAGCTTGAAGCACAGAGGATTCGGTTCGTGGTACTGAATTTTGAGGATGACATTGGAAGCAAAGGCCTCTCTGCTGCTAATAGGAAACACAGTGTTCTTTTGCGAGACTATCTCTATGGTACAAGACAGAAGAACCGATCTCGAAGGAAAGCTCCATTTTGTGCATGTATTCGACCTTCTACTAAGGACTAGAGAGTTTTAGCATGAGAGAGAGAGAGAGAGAGAGAGAGAGAGAGACGTCGTTCGTGTAGTAGTTAGTACGATAGTCCGACTAACTTAGTTAGAGTAGTAGACGACTACTAACTTAAGTAAGTAAGTAGTACGAGGAGTAATTTAGTTTAC